AAGTACTGTAATCTGTTATGTGAAGTAGCCAACAGCTTCATGTGACTTACCACTAGAGCTATGTAAAATATCTAATTTTTTAAAGGAGAGCAGGCCATCCACTTTATTTGGCACCATGTGAGCACATGAAATAATAAATGTACTTGCAGAAGCGGCAGCTCCAGCTAGATCAGCACAGATAATGCAGTGGGGGATGTAATGAACAAAGGGCAGGGGAAAAACTATTAGAAATGTGGATTTACATTTTCTCAAAGCCTAACTGTGTATCACGACCGACTGCGGGACACACAGTACGAAACATTCTTCTCTATTGCCGCTGCAGCAGAGTCAGTCGCTCACTGGGAGCCTCAGCCCGAGCCGTCAGCCATCTGTTCATCCACAATCAGAGTGGAAAGTAACTAAGTATGTTTAATTAAGTACAAATAAGTAAAAGGTCCTTACACTTTACTAGGTTATTTGTGATGCTCCTTATACATTTACTCCATTTTATTTCAGAGGGACGTGCTGCTCTGTTTTCAATACAAAATATATGATTATATATTTATATTTACTACTTTTACAGCTGAATATAGTGATTGAAGTATTCTTCATAAAATGTATCATTTTCAAAGCTGGATTACAAACTGGAGAAAGTACACAATGCCCCAAAAGCCCAATATTCACTGCAAATCAATAGGTTTTGATGATGTGATTAATACAAAATTATTCAAATTTGGGAATTTGCATCACTATAGTACAATTTTATTAAATGAGATTTTTCCATGTTTGTTTATATTATCTAACTTTATGCCTGTTCATTGGGGTGATTTACATAATATAAATAATGCTAACTATATTTATTTAAATGGTCAAGTCAATAATAATTAAATAATACTCATTATATAATGGAATAAGCCTTTACAATGAGCTTTACAATTTGCAAAACAAATACTTGAGCTTTTGATACTTAAATAATATTTTGCTGCTGATACTTACTGTACTACTTTACATTTTGAATGCAGTGCTTATACCTGTGATAGACTATTTTTACACTGGGATCTGAACACTTCTTCCACCATAGCCCATAATTCTTTTATTAAAATGTCACAGACTCAGGCTTTAAACTATGAATTAAAGTCTTGACTGTGTGAACCCATGACATCAGGTACATGCTGCTGCTGGCACACTGAGCCTCCAGATCACTTCAGCAGATGATGTGGAAGCTGCTGTGAAAGTGCAGGGATTGACTGCTGCGACCCCCGGCCAAGCGATCACCGGGAGCTGCTGTGTGTCGAGTGCTGGGCCCTGCCCCGGTTTGAACCGCCGACCTCGGATTCACCAGCACTGCACTGGCCGGAAAATTTGAAAATCCGAGCAGTTTTATCTGACCAGGCTCTTGAAAAATGTCTAATACAGACGGCGTGAAAGGAGGATTTACTTAGGAGTGAGATGACAGCTCTCTGAGGGGCGATAATACACACTATCAACCTCTCATAGTGACGCCACAGATCAATGCTGATCGTTGCAGCTAATCCAGTAAACAGAGCTATAATGTTAATCCTGAGGGTAAACAGTTAATCTGAAATCATATCATGTTCGTTATAAACAGCAGCGCTAAAAAGCTAAGTGCTCTGTGGCAACTGCAATCATAAAACCACCAGTGCGTGTATGTATGTGTGTGTGTGTGTGTGTGTGTGTGTGTGTGTTAGTGTGTGTGAGTGAGAGAGAGAGAGAGAGAGAGAGAGAGAGAGAGAGAAAAGCAATCTGTGAAATGTAAAGAGAAATGCAGTGATGTAGGTTTGACTCTGTCAGCAGTGTTCTAGCTGATGCTGACATGCTTTTCACTTTCTTGCTGCTTGTACATTGTCACATAACATGACATAACATCACCGTGTTGTTATCTAACTCCTCGCCATTCACAGGAACTCATTATCACAGAGCACAGCCATTTCCAGATGATCTCGTAACAAAAGTGACAATGATCTAAGTGTTAAAATATTGAACTTTAAAACCCGCAGAGACCAGCCCGGGCTGCTGCCCTCTCTCCTGTGTGATCTCTCTTATCGCAGGGCGGCTATTGCTGTGATGACACCCCGGCAGCACCTTGCTGATGGGAGACCTCATCTACGCTATTTGGCTTTAAGTATATTTCTCCCTGAGCACCCTCTTCTCTGTCTTACTGCAGCCACTCAAGGGTAGTTTGATTCATTGGACTGTATTCCTTGTTTCTAGAAGATGATTTTATGATCATTTTATTATCAGCATAAAAGCTAAATCATTTCATCTCCCTCCTCTCTGCAGAGGCAATTAGTCGCCTTTATGAAAATCAAATAAATTAAAGTGTTAAAAAGCTTTCACTGAGTCTCAGAGAGGCTTGATACAGCGTCACTACTTGCAAGATAATACACAGACGTGGTGCCTAAATATATAAGTACTGTTATGGTGAATGGTTGTGTCGTGTGTGTGTGTGTGTATATATATTCGTGCACGTCTCAGTCGTGAGTTGACAGGCAGCCTGAGGGAGAGAGAGGTCTGATGGGTATTATGCAAATGAGGCCAGCTGTTTGCTGCATTGGCAGACTCCTCATAACTCTCTTCTAGTTCTGCCGGAAGTGGGAAAGTATTTTATCCCTGTTTCCCCTCGTCCCCACGTCCTCTCGCCTCCTCTTTATTTCCTCAGAGAAGGTATTTCTATAGAGTGTAATTTTATATACACCCCTCTCTGCACATTTTACTGTTATTCCCCCGCGTCTGCCCGACTATCCATCTGCACTGTTACAGTAATGAATGTACAAACAGGGAAAGCCTCCTTAAGCATTTGTTGACTTCTACAGTATAAAGTAAATCATTCTGAGGCTGTGAATCCATAGCTCACTGAAAAACAAACAAACAATGAGCAGTTTTCCATGGATCTGTCTCATGTTAATTTAGATATTTCACTGCTGCAGCCACTGCCGCTTCATTTCAGCCAGTTAGTAGAAACATTCCTCACTCATTGTAGCATCTATTATCTTTGGTGGTTTTCTCTCCAATATCTCCCACAATTCCTCAGTTTTCCCCTCTCTATTCACTTCAGATTCAGAAGAGGATTCACTGGCACAAAAAAAAAATATATTTACATTCATCCGTCTATCCTTGTCTTCTAACCTCTTCTGATGCTGTCTTATCCCTGCCCTTCCTCGCTGTATGAACACCAAACATGACCGCTTCACTGTGATTGCAGAGGTCTGTCACAGGTGTTCCCCTTCACAGGTGACATTTTCTTTTTCATTCTGACCAAAATTAAGTTTATAATTCGAGAGAAAAACTTATCTTACAGCAGTATGACTTATCACCTTGCAAAAGTTGTTTTGGCTAACATGTTAGCAAAGGTCAGAGTCATTCAGAGTCATGTTTCTGTCCACCTGGCAAAAGTAATGCCAGTCCTCGGCAACCTCTGAAAAATGAAGCCAACAATGAAGTTACAAATACTGCAGTTCCTCTAATGGCCACTAGAGTCTGGCTCCAAAAGTGAGTAGCAGGGAGTTAGCCAGAGTCAGGAACTGCCAAGATGGCTGCGTCCATCTTTATATACAGTCTATGATTTTGACTCTGTTTTGGTCTCCACCAATTCCTGAGGTAAACATCTAGCTCTTTGGCTGCTAAATGCTCCACTGCATGCACCAGCTAGTCGCTAACTTTGTCTGTCTGCAGCTAGAACAGGGTTTATGAAAGGAAGGAGAGTGACAGCATTCAAGTTGCAGACCCTTAAAATGAGCTGAAAGACGATACAATCAGTTTGTGGTGATAATCATCCGTGGGTTCATTTCACATTACATCTTAGTCATTTAATCCATTGTTGATATTAAAATAGAGATTGGTTGTAGTGCTGTGTAGATTGATGAGGAAGTTAGTTACATATAACCTACTTTGGCTGAAAGCTCAACGTAGCTAGAAATGACTATAACTAACGGCAGAAGGATCTTAATGGAATGACTCCACAAGCATTTGCCAGTAAATCAGAACACCTGCTGCTGATTTGCACTACCTTATAAGTCATAGGTGTTTGATATGGCAAATTAATATGCAAATTGGCACATGACATCACCTGGCACCTTCCATCGACACATATAGCTGCTTTCCCTCAAGTCTCAGTGAACCAGACGCTAGCGTTACATATTTAACCTACCAGAACTAAACTTAGCAGCTAAAATATTCAAAGGTAGTTCAGGTGACATTCGCACCACTTGCACTTTCCTAATTGTATCATTGTGTTCAAGATGTTTAACAGAGAGAGATGGTTCTTTTAATGAGTTGAACCCAAGACCAAGGGCATATTCTTTTTAGAATAGGCCTTCTCCTTAAATTACTTTGGTTAATTGTGCTGTGATAATTGTAATTATTTGCAAAATTTAAACTTGAACAACACGCCATGTGCATGCTGTCATTTGCTGCATGTAGACAGTGAAATGTTTCAAGGTACATGTGAACCTGGCGTCATCCTGTCCGACTGCCCCCATATAACCTGTGCAGCTGTTAATTCCAGCTAAGTGCTTTCTGCTGTTTATAGGAAAAGAGAGCGGCTCCTACTGAAACATGACAGACCACAGTTTAGAGGTCATGAGGCAGCGATGTAGTGGAGAGAAAGTCCATCTAAAGTCAGTTGAACCAGCTTCTTAGCCTGACATCAATATTTATAAATTTATATTCCCAGGTTCCTTTTATCAGGTTAGTGTATTATATAAAGGCAGGATCTTTTCATGCAAAAAGGCGTAAATGAATGCTTTCTCTGAGAGCGGAATTGATTTGGTTGGTGTTGGCCTCACGGTGATTACTGACTGGAGGTCTTAGTCTACCCTGCTTCTTATTTACCGCTACATTAGTGGCGAAGCGCTGTATGCACCTCTACACATGCCTGATGGAAACACCACCGCGGGCCCTCAAATCAGTGTGAAATTACATCAGCTCTATACTTTGGACTACATGTATATAAAACTTGTCACAGGAGTGCTGGAAATGTCACCTGTCACCTACATGTTTACCTTCTCGCAGCCTCGCTCGCAGGGCCTCGCAAATATACTTGTGTATCCACTTGACTTGAGTGCTGTTTACCTGAATGGGAACGCAGAGGAAACTTAAAGCAATTGAATGTCACTAAGAGCATAGTGACAGCTTGACCTCATTTGAAGCAAGTGTTTCTGTAAAGTATGAAATATACGTGTCTTTGATGTGCCTTCTTCTGTTTTTCTTTTTTTTCCCCTTTGAGGAAAAATATGTGCCTTTATTTAATGTGCCTATTGAATATATTATGACTTTGTGATACCTTTTTTTTTGATTTTGTATATTACAAATTTGAGTTTTGAAAGACAATACAATACATTTTTTGTTGATGGGTTTGTTAAGAAAACACATTAAAGCTGCACCTATCAATATTTTTATGTCAACAATGGATGAAACAACTCCATATAATGTGAATAGGCTCATTCGCAGTATCAAACCCACAGAGAATTTTCTGTCAATGCCGCAGTTCTAATGTGTTTTAGCCTCTTTCAGCTCATTGTTTTGTTCTTTACTGTTTTGATCTGCTAGATCTGCTAGAAGGCCAACACATTTGCAGGTGAACAGAAACACAATTCAAAATGAATGATAACTAGGCAACTATTTGCAAAGACGTTAATTTTATAAAAAATAACAATATTCAGATTACAGTTGTTTTTACTGCTTGTCCCACTGTCCCCCAAGTGGCCAAAGCAGTAATTCATGCTGCTTTAAAGGTACCTGACGACCTGTTGTTTGTCAATCAGCTTCCAACTACAATTGAAGGGGGTCCTACATGAACATACTAATTTCTCCCAAAATTTGAACGGTGTTGGTTATTTCACATTTGAGGTTTCTGTCTGTCTCTTTGCTCTTCTTGATAATATGAAGTAGACGGGTGGATTGGAAAGAGATGATGTCATGTTCTTTTGTGCAGGGTCTGATGGCAGTTGGTGCGTTGTTTGGTTGTTTTCAAGTTTTTGACTTGTAAACTCTTAATGAATAATAAGTGAAGCTGCTTTTATTTAACTTGTTGTTTTTGTAGTCTGTTAAAAATAAATTGAAAATAGCTTGTATTAGCTTGTAATTTTAGTTTTCACTTATGTTTTAAATCTGACTTGTGGCTTGATGCATTTGTCCCAGCAGATATCAGCACGCTGTTGGTTGCTTGTACAAATACAACACAAAAAAAAATAGTAATAGCTTAACATCATAATATCTCAAACTGGATCAATCCAAAGTAACATCACATGTTGCCTCACTTTGAGCTGCTGACAACAAGTAAATGTGTGTGTGTCCAGAGGTAGATTTAAGCCTACTGTAACTGAACTGTTAGGAAAAGATCAATAGTGTTATCTCTCTCTCTCTCTCTCTCTCTCTCTCTCTCACACACACGCACACACACATACAGGCATAAAGGGCTCTAATCAATAATTCTATAGTGCTAACAGAAAGCTTCCACAGCAGTTAAAAGGCTTATTGCACACAGTCTCTCACATGTGCGCACACACACACACACACACACACACACACACAAAATCACTGAACACTCAACAACTGTGAGCCAAATATTGAGTATTTCATACACATTCATGGCACCTGAACTAATCTGAAAACAGTTACAGGGAAAATCAATCATGTTGATTCACTCCACAGGAATTTCCTTTTACTGGGTTTGCGTTCACGTGACGCACAAGGAATATCACTGTTACCACTCTGGGCTGCTAAACTTTCAGTTCACAGGCTCACTAATCAAAGGGTAAAATGTGGACACTTTAAGCCTCGTTTGCCGACATAAAACGAGCAGCAGGATTCTCTCAAAGTCTTTCATTTGCTGTTCGGTTCAATCCTCTGATTTGCTGCTATTTGCTGTTTAAGCTGCAGAACACATCCAATAACTCATCTAACCAGAACAAATACAGCGATGATAAGGTGCTGTAATCAGTCAGTCATTGTCTTCCTCTATCCCTCTTTCCTCTCTGTGCTACCCTTACCACGTTTCCCCCTCTACCTCTCATATCCCTCTCTCCCTCCTCACATTGCCTGCATTAAGTTTACATATTCTTTCCAATAAACTCTCAGAATATATATGAGAGGAATGAAAACTAAATGGCAAGCAGGTGATAACGGAGCATCCTTGGATATGTGGGTGAAACAAAGTGAAAGAAACCACTCATGGCCATGAATGTACTTGCTTTCCTTCTTACCCTCCATACGAAAGTGTTGAAAGTAAAGTATATTTTAATTCCCTCCCTCTCTCCTCTGTCTCCCTTGCTTTCTCCTTTTCTGTGCCATATGCTCAAAGCTCCATCTCGGGCTCATTTGGAGTGCTACACACACGCAGACACACACTGAAACACACACACACACCAGCTCTATCAAAGCACGGGAACAGCTGGCTTGCTCGATATGGATGACTACTCGCCTGTCAACTAGTTTCACACAGCACACACACAGCACACACACACACATCATCAAGCCTGGTGTTTCTTGCTGTTTCGAAAAGCCAAGTAAGTGAGAGATGGAGGGAGAGAGAGAGAGAGAGAGAGAGAGAGCAGGTCAGAGAGTTAAATGGGTGAGTCAGACAGAGTGAGTGAGAGACTCGTGGAGGACTAAACTTAGTAAAGTCAGATTCATTTGACATAACAATTACAGACGAGTGAATATTCACCAGGATTTCATCTCACAAGATAATAGAGTACTGCATTTGAAGAAGAGAGAGCTACTGTTATTATTGACAAAATGTCAGAGGTCAAACCGGCCTAACGTTCAACACTCTTGGAGAATAATATTTCTAACAATGAATGGATAATGAACAAATATGTTTGTCCTTTTCTTTTCAGTTACTGAATTCCTCTGCAAGTCAATAACTGCTTTTTAAACTTGACATTAATAGCAAAGCGAACAACAATAACAGTCTCTGAACTTTGTCTGCTTACTCTTTTTTTTTTATCTTTTGTACCAAATTTCTTGTATGGAAATGTTCCAAAAACTATTAGAAAACTGTTAGGAAATAAACAGACCTGTAAAATAAAGTAGTAACAGGACTGGGATTGTTCAAAAAGCTGTGCCAATAAAACACACTAAAATTGTGATATTTTTGATTAAAACCTTTGTTGTTCTTCTGATCACACTCCATACAGTGATGTCATAGCACATGCTTCAATCACATCTAACCAGCTATATTTAACCAAATCAATACATTATGTTTTCTTTACCTATATGAGCAGAAATGTTAAGATAACAAAATGTGGTTTTGGGGGGAGTTTTATTTTCAGTTTATCCCTCCATCCAACAACGTTACAGCATCTTCCAGCTATGACACAAGTTATAGTAGAGGGGTCGTAGTGTAGGGGTCTAGAGCTGGTTGCAGCTTAACTTACATACAGTATATGAGTTTGATATTGATCTTATGTCACTCTTCGTCATCATAGGCCTATTTCCCAAATTATTGCTGTCTTCTTTTAAAGGTTTATAAATAACACAATGCTGGCTGTTGGTTATAGTTAGAACGTTTTTAAAAGGTGTTTCTTTATTAAAGAACTGTCCCTATTCCTGTCAGACACATTTACAAAGTAAGACTCGGTCCTCTGCTGAGCTAAATGATATTTATAATTCTTTGCTTAGGATTCAATAAGTGGCTTATTATGAATGTAATATGATATACAATGAATTTAAATGATTCAGAATTACTTTGTATAACAACCCTCATATTATTTGGTATCCTATATGAGACCTGTTACTGATAAGATCATCAGGAACACTTATAACAATCACATATATGGAGTTACTATGTGACAGAGGTTGTTGTCTTACCTCCCCTGTGTGGCTGAGACTCAGTTTTGGCAGTTTATTCTTCACGTTCCCAGAGTTTCCTCCATAAGCCTGACTGCTGCCGTTGAATCCCTCTGTTGCCACTAGGGGCGGTTTCAGCTGGGGAGAGTCGCTCGGCGCCTGGTCTTGGCCGTCCATTGGTCGAACATACGCGGTGGGCTTCTGCTGAACGGCGACTGGCTTCCCTGATAGGCTACCAGGTGGGAAGGTGGGGGTAGTTAATCCAGATGTGGGAGTGGTTAGACCGGGAGTAGGCGTCGTCAGAACCGAAGTGGAAGCCAGCGGGGAGGAGGATGTCGAGAGGTGAGAACCTGTTTCATTTTCAAACGGGGAGGATTTAAAATGTCCACCATTTTCTGTGTTAGCGGAAGACTTAAAATGGCCACCGTCCATGGTGGAAGATCGAAAATTGCCACCATCTGTGAGAGAGAAGGAAAAGGGAAAAAACCCAAAAAGAAAAGTCAAAAATCACCAAAGCAACACCTGGTGTAGTAGAATATTGCTCTGCTCTGTGCTGTCAAAATCTAATGAAGGTTGAATGCCAAAAAAATCCCTCTCGCAGATGGATGGAGGCAGTCACAATCAAAACAAATTATGGGTTGCTGGGTGGTTTAGAAATCAACTGCAAGATGTGGTTATCATCACAAGCAGATGTTAATTTTAAGAAATCCCTCCCAAAAGGTGAGTCTGTTTTGCAAATACAAAGATTTTCCATAAAACGTGTGAAGTCCCATTTTTGTTGGTTGGCTGACAATTTCATCAAACACAATCTGAGTTATCCCCTGCTACTCTTTAAAGAGTAGTTACACAGCTATTCACATTCCCATCCACTCTCATGTTTGCTAAATATGACCTATTAGCTTCTCCCACACTCATGTTATTTAATTCAGATCAGAATTATGAAAAACCGAGTGGGACAGAAATCTTCATGGCTACTTGATAAAAAAGAACTACAGATGTGTCAACAAACAAAAACAATGGCTGCAAAGTCACAAACTCTGACACTAATACAATAGATTCAGCAAATTCATAAGGAGCTATACACTGCTTGTTTCACTTGATAACAAATGGCTCCAAACATGTCAAAACTAGCTGCTTCAGGCTATTTAAATAATGTTATTACAAGACGAGGAACATGGGTGACCATCTTGTAATGTGAGAGCATTCCCAAGTTGGAATAACAGGAGATGTGCACAGTACATGCACACGTGCAGTATTAGCTTAGCTTGAAGAATAGAAGCGGGGGGAAACAGCCTGGCTATGTCAATCCAACCGACTGATGGATACTGTCGATCATCTCGACTAACTCTCAGGATTAGAGCAAATGTATCCCCCAAAATGTCAGCCTATTCCTTTCAGGCCTGTTTGTGTAAGATTTACCTGGGAGAGGAAGGGTTTTGGAGGGGTGGGAAGAGTGCCTTCTAGAAGAGGAAGATGAGGAAGAGGAGGAGGAAGAGGAAGAAGAAGGGCTTGAATCTTCTTTTAGACCCAGTTCATCTTTCAGTGAGCTAAACAGCTCTTCATGCCTTTGCATTTGCTGCTCCTCTAATAAAGATATTTTCCCTCTGCCACTGGCAGCTCCAGCAGCCTGCCCCTGGCCGTTCTGTCCTAACCCCAGGACGAGGCCCGGTCCTTGGGTACTCTGTCCGTGGCCTCCCCTTGACCAGTCCATGGAGCTCCGTGACTTCTTCGAAGTCTGATGTGGGATTGTCGACGTGCTTGATGACGACGTGGTCGAAGCAGGAGGTTGCATGGAGGCTGAAGATGACGATGGTGCATTTCCCATCCTCTTATCCCCACTTGCCTCTGCTCCTCCTCCTCCTCCTCCTCCTCCACCTGCTCCCCCTCTTAAGGTGTCATTGAAAAGCTGGGACTCCATGGCGGGTCTGTCTGTCGTTGAAGTGGTCGGGGTCTGCAGGTTGTTGTTCGCACTGCTGCCTTTGGGGATTCCCACCAAGTGGCTCTGGTTGGAGTGGCTGGTTAACAGGTCTTTCATCTCTTCGTAGGAGCCCAGCGTGTTCTGGACGCGACTGGCCAATGCATCACCTTTATTAGTCTGAAAAGAGAAAGGGGAGAACAAAAAGACGGGAGGGATGAAGAGAGAGAAGAGTGTTAATTAAGTCTCCCATTTTTTCATTTCTCCACACTTAATGAAAAGCCCTCTTTATTCATCCGGAGAGGAACAGTGAGAGATGGATCGGGTGACCACTGACCAGACATCAGGACGAGATGATTAATTAAACACATGCCACCCTTAAGAGGGTCCAGTCCAGGCTGGAGCAGTAAAATTAATGGAGCAGGAATCATTATTAGCCTGACCCCAGATTTTCAAGCAATCATTGCTTGGAGGACAGTGTGGGCCTTACTGATGTATGACGGTGTAGCACCTTCAGCTGCTACGTGGTAACACTGAGATGTTCCTCAGAATAGCTCAAGACTACCTTCCGTGTCAGTCATTGTCAGCCTCTTTAATGATGAAACTATATGATTTGATCATCTGGCATTTTTGAAAGAGCAAGGGCAATCAGCAGTGGTTTCAGCAGGTCTATATTTGGAACAAGATTCTTGCAAAAGAAAAAAGTGAAAGGAGGAGGAAAAAAACGAAGACCAGTACATTTTTATCCAGTTCTCTGACATTTCCTTTATACCTGCGCAACAAATTGTGGTGCAAAGTATTAATCATGAGAAAGTGTGAATTATTTAAGATCTACAGCCTATAATTTAATCGTGACATTTCATGATGAATTACAGACAAATGATGAACACTGGAAACACTGAGTAAGATCAATGTTAAATATGACCCTGTAATTTTATTTTACATAACTTTTGTGGATTGGTCAATAGATTTTCTCGGCCGTAAAGGCGAGGTGGTTGACAACTGGCACTCTGCTAATCACCCCTGTGCTAACGAGCAGTGATAGTGTCAAATACAACACAGGAGGTTTAAAGGTTGAAACACACTGAGGAGTGAATAAGAAACTGATTTCTAATCTATCTAATTTTCATGACAGGGTGAAATTGCCTGTATTTGGAGAGGTTAATGAATTCATGAATAATGAATTTATCTTCATAGGGAGGAGGAGATTAACTAATCTCAGGTAATGTTTCTCAAAGAGTTATACGCACTAATAATAATTTAATCCCAACACCGACTGTGGCAGTAACTTAACACCAATCATGCAGATCTACGAGAGACTGTCAGGGTCGATCATCAAACTACATTTATTTTGGCTGTGATCAGAAGGAGAAAACGCTCACATCTTGTACATCAAATACATTTGTATCAGTTAACGAACATGATCAATATATCCTTCAGAAAGCATGTGTCTGCTGGTGTTTTGTTTTTCCAATGCAAACAAACGGCTTCTGTCTATAACCAAATAATACTGTAATAACAGGCAATGATCCATGGAGAGGTCTTATTGCTGAGGAGGGAATTATAAGTGTGTGTGTGTGTGTGTGTGTGTGTGTGTGTGTGTGTGTCTGTTAGATACATCTAATTCTAACTGAGGGCAATGTAAGTATCATTTGATGATAACTGCTGTATTGTGAGAGCATTTTTTCCACAATCAAATGGGAAACTGAAATGAAAGGTTTGGTTTCTGGTATAACTCACACAACCTTCAGGAATACTGAAGATCCACTACTGGTACCAGTACCAGTATTAATTAAGATCTGCTAATTATATCTGGATTAAATGATTAATTGTTTAGTCAATGAAACGTCAAAACATAGTGAAACAAGATTAAGCATCTTCAGTCATGCCAGCAGCTCTCAGGCCCTGTTAAGACATGGCATTAACATGAGTCTTGGGTGATCCAATCACAAGTACAGCTCTAATTCCACTGGTGAACCACAGACTGTAAATAAAGATGGACGTAGTTTTGAAGCTCAGAGTGAGCCGCTCCGCTGTCCCCATCTTGCCAGTGTTTGAATCCCCCTAACTCCCAGCTAATCCAAAAATGGGCAAAGAGGTGGGGTGTGTGGGGAACTGAGACTTCTGTGAATGACGGTTTGTGGCAAATATACACTCACCCACCTGCCACTCAAAGTGGCCACACCTTCAATTATGCATCACTTTAAGCTTTAATAAAAATTTAAATGGGTGATGGGTTGTCATGATGGAGGAAATCATCTATAGAGACCAAAACAGTTTTTTGTACCAGGCTGTTAACATGTTTATTTGTGCTGTAAAGTTGGGCATTTCAACATGAGAGTCTGTGGGGGTTGACTCACTTTGGAAGATAACCTCAACTGCAGTTTCTGTCGTTTCTGTGTTGGCATCATTTTTCAGCACCAGAGTTTGCCGCTTGGTGTGATCGCACCCAGTCGCTCAGACCACATTTGGAGGTGGTCTGGGCCGCATGTGGCCATGTTCTTTTAGCAGTGTGAATGTAAAGGAGTCCTGGGCCACAATGAAGGACTGTCTACTCAGCTGACAACCTCTGCCACAGGCTAATTAATCCCACCGCAGTTTCATAGTGAACTGAAAATAATTTTACACGTCTCACAGTGTTTTCCATTCATTGATTTATTTTTTAATATTTCAAATGGCTAAAGCCTTATTTATTGGAGAGCTGTGCTCAGCACATTGATTCGCTCCAGCCCCTCCTTGTCCCGCTGTCTGTCTCTCTCTCTCTCTCTCGCTCTCTCACAAACACATTGACAACAGACCCGTCTGTCATAGTCAGACTGGCCAAAAAAAAAACAAAGCATTTGGTCTTTAACCGAAATGATGTAGGTGTTTATTTGCATATTGAGCAAGGAAGTGAGATCCGATCACGAGTGGTCACTCGAGACGCATCTGGAGACGCGTTTTAATGCCAGTTGTGAACAGGGCCTGAGAGGCTGCACTTACAGGCACTTAGAGGCACAGCAGTGCTTTGAGCTAAATTCTAATGGCGCCATGTTAACATGCTCACAGTAACAATGTTAATAAGGAGCTGTTGAGCAGGTTTACCATGTTTACCATTTTAGTTTAGCATATATTAGCATGAAAACGGCAATAAACACAAAGTACAGCTGAAGCTGGTGGGAATATCATTAGTTTCAGTTATCTGATCATAAATCAAAGTAATGGACAAATTAAAAATTTGGCCTGGTAATGGCACTGTGAGAAGAGTCAGGGGATCAGCAAAGTGATTAAGATTCCTCCTGTGTGGACCATGAATTTCTGTACAAAATGTCATTGCAATCTATCAACTAGATGAGACTTTTCATTCTGGACCAAAGTGGTGGACAAACCGACCGATTTAAGACCGACTGACCAACACTGCCGTCCCTAGAGCCACAGAGGCTTGTGTTCCGCTCAAATTTACGGACCAAATCCCCAGGATTATCTAGCGTCTGAGACATAACTTCTACTTTAACAACCACCAAAATCAATAACCAGATGAGACTCCTACATTTGCACCTAATGTGCTTTTGAAACTCTTACTAATAATTTCCACTGCAACCTGCACACCTCTCATCCTAGAGGAGGACGAGACGAAGCCTGAAATAACATCCATGTTTGATGAAATATGGTAGAACTTTTACTTGACTTGACTTGCACAGGACGGAGAACACAGACTGAACATCTCTGCCATGATTACAAATCACACGTTGGCCTGGGTTTAACATGACCAATCCTTATTGCTCTGTGTGCCACAAAAGCCTCAACTCAGATCTATGTGACTGGAGGCAACATTCATCTCTCCCACCATGTCTCTCCTCACTTCACTGTATCCTTCATTTTTACACTCTAATAAAGCAGGAACACCATGAAAGTACCAAAAAATGAAACAGTGCAAAGAATCAAGTCTTATTTACAAAAGATTCATACAAGAAAGGGGAGAACTGCATTCATATAATCTTAACAGATGTAATTTCTGTGTGTGTGCACACGCATACACAAACACTACACACCGTGGCAAGCCAAAGTTAGCTGTGAATAAATTAGCCCATCTCTTCTCCATCTCAGGCTCATGAATAAAAGATCTGGTGGCTGAAGAGGAACAGAAAACACATTTACAGAGAGGCAAAATGGAAAACAGAGGAGAGGGAGAGGATGAATACCTATGTGTGTGTGAGAGAGTGTGTGTGTGTGTGTGTGTGTGTCTGTGAATAGATCATCCCAAATAGCTGCTAACAGCATAACGCTCTTTAACAGGATTAGAAGAGGGATTAGCTAATAGCTGACAGAGAAAATGAACACTGTGGAGAGGGAGACAGACAGACAGACAGAGTGACGGACATATGATTGATGTGCAGGTACAGAGAGGGAAAGACAGAAACTGATGAAAAAAAAAATGAAAATAAAAATGAAGAAGAGAAAGAGGAACCGGGAACGATAAAAGTTCCATAAATCCTGTGTGATAATGAAAAGGGGCTGATATAGATCTCTAAAGGAGCAGTTCTGTAAGTTCAGTCAGCACGTTGACACAGAGAAAGTGCAGTGAGGGTGTATACGGTAAATCCACTGAATTGTATGGAGAAAAGAAACACCTTCAGAAGAAAAGAAAAAAATGAAATTGTTAGTGTGGCAAATAAATGAGCAGAAGAAAGTGGCAAGGTGTGCCAAAGCCATATGTCAGGTTTAGCAGAAGCACGAGATAAACTGTGGAAGTCTATGGAGGAAAAAGATTAGTTGGAAAGAGCTGGAAAATGAAACAAGTAAACATGTTATCCTCTGTGAATGATGCAGTCACTCCCCCTTGGCCAGTCACTTATAAAATGTATCATTGCTCCAAGTTTTATCTGGATCATTTTTACCTTCAATTATAGTTCCCCTGTTAAGTTAATGATTGTAATCAATGAGAGCAGCACACGTCAGTCTGGTCAAAGGAAGGCATGATGGGAATGAATCAGCCCAGTAACCACAGGAGATGCATCCATTTTGGACAATCGTGCACCTGAGACTACGAATGAAATTATCTTTCAGTATAAATTCACTAATGTTGAAAGATGGCATTGAATGCATTATCAGATTCTTGGGCTTGTTCGTTAATCTTTGATCTGATGCATTGAGCAGCAGACGTATTTTGTTACAGAAGAAAGTAAAAACAATTTAAATCTAACAAAAACCATAAGTGGAGACTGTTTCACTTCCAAAACTAAGGAGATATAAGCTTTGTTCACACTCGTAACCTGTGATCCTGATGAAGCACACTGGAAAAATGTTGTTCGCGCCTCCAGTACTTGCAAAAATGCAACAAAAAAAAAAAAGATTAGGCCCAATTTTCTTATTTGGATCTAATCACTGTAAATGCCTAACTTAAAACAGACACCGCATTGCATCCTTCTCTCTAGCTTCATTAAAATAGCAGCAGTGATCACCCTGAACACAGCCCCGCCCACAGTCATCCTCGCTCTCTGCTCACACACACATCTTGACCTCACCTCAGCACCATTAATTAGTCGGAAACAATTAGTTGGAGTACGGAGGCACCTAGGATTTATCAGAACAACCTCTCACCCCCCCCACCCCCCACCCCCAAACCTCAAGCAGCATCTTAGCGAGAAGCCCTCATGTCCTCTGCGTTCAGACACAGCAGCAGTTAAACACATTCTGTCAAGATTCAAAGGCGGTCCGTCCCAAGGTCGATACACTTGGCGGCATAACCAAGTGTTGAAGTGCCTGGCGGTAGCAAATGAGAGTTAACAAACCAAAATCAATTTTATACACATGGGGCAGGAGAGTGGCCATGGACTTCATGCATGACTAGTTCACTTTCAGCTAAAGAAGAAGCAAAGTGATGGCATCTCCGCTACCTCAGAACAGAACAGACCAGGACCCTATGCTTGAGAATATTACACTACTGGTCTCACAGGGGGAGCGAGAGGAGAAAAAAAAAGATTACAATAAGCTATAATGATCCAAAAGCCACCATTAGCAGTATCAGCCACAAAAACAGCATTTAAGTGAATTACACAACAAAACTACTGCCTCGGAGCTCTATTACATCCGTGTCTGTCCAGGCTCATATAATATACGGCATGTAGTAAAGAGTGAAGATCTATACAATCACCATAGTGCAAAGGTGGGCAGCCAAGATTAGTGTCACCGATTCAGAATCTTACCACGAAGGCGTAATCCTAACCACGGCGGCCTGGGTTCAAGTCCAACCCATGGCCCTTTGTGCCATATCACCCTCTGTCTCTCTCTCTCTCTCTCTCTCCCTGACTTTTCTGTCTCTCTCTCTCTCACTCTCGCTATCAGAATTAAGGCAAAAAATAACTTGATGAACGTGATGAACCTGGCTGGACACACTCGTTATTCAGTGCTTTTAACTTCAAAAGTCACAATTTGGTATTGAACGAGTCCCAGCGAGGTTCTTTATAGTGTCCAGTCACAACACTTCTGTTGTGTTGTGACTGGATTTGTAGCGCGTTTGTTTAATGGCACGTGTGTTGTGATTTTTTTGCAGCGCATGTATTGTCAAGTTGATTGTGTGTCTTTGCATGTGCAAGTAGCAGTGGGTTGAGCTGCCAGGGCCACCGTATTGACCTTTGATCTGGCAACCAAATTCTAATCAGTTCATTCTTGAGTCCGAGTGAACGCATGTGCCAAACTTGAAGAAATTCCCTCAAGGCGTTCCTGAGATCTCGCGTTTAAGAGAACGGGACGGACGGACAGCCTGAAAACATAATGCCTCCGGCCACAGCTGGAGGCATAAAAATGTTTGTTGCTAAGCAATAACAATTCCTTTCAACTGATTGCTTGCATGGGGCAAAATTGTTTCACATGAGCCTTAATCACAAAGTATGGCTGTATCAGAGGAGAGTGGCCCATCCTCACTGATTAAGATGTCATAAATTCACTCCATTTACCCAAATGAAATTCTGGTGTCAGGTATGTCCACTTCTCCTCTCCTCCTGCAGAGATCAGTCAAAACTTAACAGCGAAATATAAAGCTGTCTCCTAAACAGCAGTGAGAGAGCACTCTGTGTAGAGAAAGCAGCACTCGGTGTAAAGAAGTGTGTAAAAAGTGTGTGGCTGTCCACTTATTCACTCACCCACTATATAGTGTTTGCCACATTGAAGACTCACTAGGTGATAAGTGCAGACAGAAGTTGATCAATTTTGGACACTTCTTAGGATCTTTAATTGCTACATAATTATGCGCCGGATATTCATAACTATTATCTCCGAGCATCTGCATCACATATGAGGCAGAATACATTAAAATACATGCTATCTTACAAGACAATGCATTCTTTACACATCTTTCATGTATGTTTTTATTTGTGTCTACAGAGTAACTGTTCTGTCAGATTGTGTTGTTTTCAAAAATGATGATCCCGACAGGCATTTTGATAATAATTCTTTGGCAGTTCAGGCTACTATTATCAGAACTACTATTAAATAACTGTTCAGACCCAGTTCAGATCAGATTATGAACTATCCAGTATTCAATTGCTCTTACTTTGTAAGGTTCTCCAAACAGGTTGAATCCAGTTGAGAACAGGTCTTCATCCTGCTGGACCTCCTGGTTCCTCCTCTCCCACTCTCTCCTCTTCAGGGCGCTGCGCTCCGACTCCAGATGACTGGAAACACAAAGAAAAATTCTTGTTAGCATCCCCCACTGAGGCCGACACTTAGCCTGCCACCAAAGAGACCCACTGGTTTTTAATGAGCTAACAAGTCATTTTTGGGGCTGCAAAGACGATGGGCTGAGATTCTTCTCCTGAAGTGTGATTAGACTAGCCGGGTAGCTTGTAAAGGAAAATAGCAGGGTAAGTAATGTCATTGCACTGTCTGAAAGTGACTCAAATTGCACATAAACAAGGAGGAAAGAGGAAAGATTAGAAAAACTGAATGCTGGTATAAGTTTCACGGTGACAGCAAGAAAATATGGTTCTGTAAAACAAGAATTTAACTGAGGGATAAGTAATGAAGGTAAAAATGTCAAACTTGTTTAATGAAGCTGTATAGTTTGTTTAAGATTACTAATAATGTTTAAACATAGGCTACTTATCAAACTTGGCTCTCTGGATAAGATACGGTTTCCATTTTAGTCACTATTTACCTCACTTCCAACACAAGCTGCCATCTTCCACTGAAACTAATTTCCTGTTAATCCTGTCCTTATTAAACCCTAAATAGCTAGATGTTTGTACTGACAGTTTTGAAGAATGTAAGGAAAGTTTTCTGCCTCTTCGAATCAGTTATGCAGTGGGTTTAAATTGTTATTTTTACTCAACGAATACTTTACTTTAAATAAATTCGAGTAGCCTTAAATTTACTTTGGAAAAGGCTGGTGGATCTTCAGACTCCTATAAAATGTTCATCACATACTTCTACTGACCCTTTCCTACATGCATGCCATCAGAACTTCATACAGTGCCCATAGCTTTGTTATGGTTTTATCTCTATCTGCAGGAAACAGTTCAAAAAGAAACTAGTTTTTATGCAATGAACTAATTCAGCTGATGTCAATGTGATACATATGGAGGCAATTAGCTAAGCTTAGCATATAGACAGGAAGAAACAACTAGCCCGGTTCTCTCCAAAGTTAAAAGTATGCCCTTCCAATACCTCTGCAGCTGTCTTATTAACACACTGTATCTCATTTCCGTAAACATACAGAAACATGAACACGACAACTTGTGGTTTTAAGGTGAGTTACAGTGTGAGGTGTAGCTAGCATGTTCCTTGACAAACAACCATTTATCTTTGTACGCCATGAAATAGTTAGTTACTGCACGTTACTCACCTTAAAACCACAAACTGTTCAGGTATGGATTAAAGTAATGGGACACAACTTGCTAATTAGTGAACTTTAGAGGTGCTGATAGACATATTTTTGTAAGAGCTAGGCTAGCTGTTTCCCACTGTTCCAGTCTTTATGCTAAGATAAGCTAATAGCCTCCAAGTGCCATCTCCATATTTAACATTTTACAACAATTACAGCGGTTTAAGCACGGGGGTTTCTTGAAATAGTATTATGCTATATTTGTGACAGGCATTTGGAACAACAAAATTAAAAACAGTGAAAAATGAAATGAAATGAATCGAATAAAGAATGATCATCTTTATATAACTAGGCCTACAGTTTATGTAGGGAACCAACAGGCAAAAAAAAGTCAACCAAAGCACTGTTACAACTACAACATAAGCCAGAGCTCATAAAGGCAATCTTTTACAACTGTGTCTATTTTGTGATATAACATATGCCATTAGCTGGCTACTTTCATTCATGAGTGCATTCATTTCTAACATAGGTGAGCCCACTGGGAATTGAACTCCTCATCCGGGCAGTGCTTATGACACGCTCTACCCACTGAAGGCCAGATGCATTTATGTCCTATCGTGTTGTCACGGGATGGTTCCCAATAAAATTAGCTTTTAATCTTCGAACATTCCTACACTCCTGTTATGAACTATGCGGTCTTGATAGCCAGAATTATTGCTTGTGGATTTGGAGTCAGGACTGTTTCTTGTGGCATTTAAAATATGAGACAGCTGACAGTAAACAATGATAGGAATGGCTGAAAGCTGTGGTCTGCGGGGAAGAGAAAGGGTGGTGGACCCCAGGTTTTTGGAACGCTTCCCTTACATAACCATGTATTTTTAGCAAAAAACATTTTTACTGGACAGTTACCGATTCACCCTGCTCTCCTAAACTTCTTCAGTCACCAGCCTCCACTGAGAAATCTACAAACTAGCAGGCAAACTCGAATGTAAGAAGTACAAAGTAATGTGTGTGCATAGTGTATGTGTGAGTGTGTGTGAATTCTAGTTATGCATGAGGCTGTGGCCTGCTGACCCAGGGAAGGGCATCGTGTTTTACCACATCCACTGCCGAGAGATGAGACAGGCCGGGTAATTAGCGATCAACACAATTAAAAGAGACTCTCTTTTTCTCTACCAGACCTCGCTTCCAACATTTAATCTATCAGCAAGATGTGAGTGGGAGGGAGAGAGAGTGGAGAGGCAACGAGAGAAAAGAGAAAAAAAATACAAAAAAATCACACAGACCCAGGGGAGGAAAAAAAGACACAGTTTCAGGGCAACAGACAGTCTCTTAAAAAGGAAAAAAAAATAACAGAATGATGAAAGACAGAGAGGAGGGATGGGGAAAGGAAGGTAGAATAGAAAGAAAGGAGGAGCACAAAACAAGAGAGCAGTGGGAATACCAGACAAAATGACTGACAGGTTGGGTGTTTGTGTATGTGTGTGTGCATGTGCATGTGTGTGTGTTAGAGCAGTATACATAGATGTGATCATTGCATGTGCTGGGACCGCTGGTTGACATGTGCATTGCCTGTCAGTGCAGAAAGATAACTGACAGAGCTGTCACTATGAAACACACATACACTCGTACACAGAACACACACACACACACACACACACACACACACACACACACACACACACACACACACACACACACACACACACACACACAGACAGAGCGCTGCAGTCCCATGGCAGAGATCACTGTCTCTGTCTCCGTCTGTCACACGATAGACGTTCACATGAAGGGAATCAGGTCAGACGAGGTAATTAACACATCCAGGATTTATTTCCCCGCTTGTGGCGGGAACAGAGAGCAACACTGTCTGTCACACACAGGTTAGACTGCCTCTAGATCCTTTTACACCTCACTGAACTCTGTTTTTTTTACAGGTTTTGGAACCATAGTGCTGTGGTCAGCCAGGTCAGTGAGAAACTTTACAGCTACCTGCTTCGACAGCGTGAAACAGAATGGGTGTACTAAAAGTCACTTTGTCCAAATCAATGTTTTTGAGAAGTACAGAAGTGGTAGGTAGCTAGGCTTCGATCCAGATGTAATGGAAATTTTAGCTTAATTTTCAGGAAATCATCAAAACGTTTGTCGTTTATCTAAATTGGTTCACTGACTTAAGCAGTAGGTGGAACTGATTCTCCAGTGAGGTGCCATTAAACCACTGCAGAAGAAGAGGGCTCAACGAGATGATGTAATTAAAGGAGCACCAGTCTATCGCCAAATGGTGATGCTTTTGAATGTAGAAAACACAATGGAATTATGACATTTATGTTTGTTTCATGTTAAATTGTTCCTCACGGATCTGCCTTTAAATAACATGCTTAAAGGATGTCATGATTAATATGCTAGTCTGTTTTGTTTTTTTTTTTATTTGAATTTCTTTGTAAATTTCTGGATTTCCACAAAACAGGTAGATACCAAAGTTGACTTTTATTCATTATAATTTAATTTAAAAGAGATATTTGTAAGTTCTGCTATTGCTACATAGCCAACGTTAGCATTAACAGCAGTTTGTCTGCACTGCTGATAATAGTAAAACACTCACTTTTCAAAATAAGAAGAAAGAAAGAAAGAAAAAAGAAAGAAAGATGGACAGACGGATGGATTGGTGGGGATTAATAGCAGTGGTGATATCAGCAGTGGGCATACTGTCGATGTTGATATTTTCTGTGAATGAAAATGTAGCGATGGCAGCTTTCTTTCCTACCACTCTGCTTTCCTTCTGTGTGGATGTTAGTGTGCGTTTGTGTGTGTGTGTGTGTGTGTGTGTGTCCTGAAGTAATGCTGATAGCCAGAGTAAGCTCTGGGAATTTAATCTCAGCAGAGCTATGCTGTGCTCCCCTGATAACTAAACACACACACACACAGACACACACACCAATGTCTCTAACACAGCCTCATCATCCTCTCATTCACTTTCACTGCAAAGTGTTTCAGCATTGCTCTCTCCACTCCTCAACAACTGCTGCTGGGGTTGCCCTTTAGCAAGGCACTGAACCTGCAGCTCAGCAGGATCTGGCCTCAGCAGCTGCCCAGTGGAAATACAGCTTCCTTCCCCTGATGGATGAAGGTTAATCACAGGGTTTACTATGGGGAAAATGAACGATTACAGCTGCAAGTGGCAACAGGATATTTTAAATAAAAAGTGTAACTGACAGGTTTTGCTTTAGACCACAGTTTATATATTGTAATGGTGAAATGTGTATGGAACTGTGCTAAAATGGTGGTATTTGGTTTTCTTCGTTTAATTTATTCATATTGTGTCATGTAGAACAGTTACATTTAATGCCAGTAAAAACTGAAAGATGTTTCCAGCACACCGCACGCCTGCAGCCAGATGTTGAATCTGGTCAGTGGATTGAGTTGAACATGTTGAAGTTTCTGTGTTCTGTCGTCAGTGGGAAGAAAGACTCCAGCCTGCATATGTCATCAAGAGAGTTTCTGGAGCTGCTTCATTGAAAATCTACTGGAGCCTGACTTTGTGGACTCATGCTGCATTTGTGTCTTATGGGAATTACTGTCAGAACAGTTCAAGGCAACCGCTTGGAAATATATTTTAACTCATCTGAAGCCATCAAGGCATTTTAAGCAAAGCCTTCTGTACGTTTTAGTCATTTGCAATCAGCTTTTCCACATTTGATATACACGGTACTGTGGCATTTCACAGTCATAGTTTAGATCATGTTCTTCCTCATAAGATGAAAAGCATTTTGTTTTTACTGTAGTGAATATGTCACTCATACTGTAATTTCATATTCAAAATATTGTGTGGTAAATATCAGGTTTTACTACAAA